ACAACTGAAATTCATGACAGTCATAATAAGGAAAGAAGGCCAAGTGAATTTAACACTCCTAGGGTATATTGAAGCCAAAAGACGCGGTTGGAAAAAAACGAGTTTACGCGAATGGATAACAAAACAAAGACAAAGAGGGATGAAAACGGGTCAAAAGTCAGAGCCATACAAGTTAGGAAGTTGTGGAGAGCCATGATCGTGAAAGGATATGGCATATAAAAAGAATATACAGTTTCTTTTTTTTTAAATAAATAAAACGATAGAGATATTTAAACGAGCTCCCATATCCGCTGGCATATACTCTCAGAGGCCCCCATACACAAAGACACACACGCTGGCTCGTTATATTTTGAATGGATAATGGCTGAGTTGAAGAGAAGGTTCCAGTAGACAATTTTTCTTGTGTTCTTTCTGTCAAAACGATAGTTAGGAATTATCGTCGCAAGACTTGCGTATACATATGTTTCAATAAACGTATTTGAATTTATTTCCCGAGGGGTGATTCTTACAGCCGAATTATACGAGGTTAGATCAGAAAATCCGTGGCCTGATGATACGAAGTTATTAGAAGACTTTTGGTGCGACATGGTCGCTGTATAATGTTTGACCTATGTATCTAATGGAGACTATTCAATTGGGTGCATTGACAAGAAAGGAGGTTTTGTTGAAATAATAACTGCGCGTTGTGTAAAATATATTGTCTTTTTATTTTATTTTCTTTTTTTTCATTACTAGGCCACCGACTTACTGACATGTCCCTGTACATCAGAAATTTAATCACACTTTAATGCTTGTGTAAATATACACACACTAAACACACGCATACACACACACACACATCTATCTATCTATCTATCTATCTATCTATCTATCTATCTATCTATCTATCGAATGTCAATAAATACACATGTTATAGCTTTATGGTTAAGATAGTTGCAATTTTTCGCTGGAGCCACCGGTCAATGTTCAGGGGGAAAAAAATAAAGCTTTACAAATATTCTCTGTTCAAGATAGCTAAATCTCCCTGCTTAGAAGACTGGCGTAACACAATCTTTCGTATTCGGCATTTCTCTTTGACCTTTTGTTAAACTACACTAGAAATATGAAGTACAAAGAAAAAAAAATCCTGATTTCTCCTTTCAAAATGTTGCGGTCGTCTAATACATCGGAGCGTCTTATAAGCCGATATACGGTAATTCAACATATATATATCAAAAATAGAATTCAACGAAAAAATTTAATTAATAATTAATTAAAGAAAGGGGAATTAATTACATTAAAATGTCAAAACCCGTCAGTTTAAAAAGCCCAGCTTGATGACAAGAGATTTTTTTTTTCTTTTCTTTGATCATTTTTAGTCTTTAGCCAGGCCCACTGTAAGGGTCACGTGTCCAAACTCCCAAATCTATAATACGTCACCACCAACTCTACGATAAGGGCCGCTGACTCAACTAGATCTCAGTTTTCATAAGGTAATATTCATATAAAATAGAAATTTTATTGTAACCTAATTATGTACAATAATGGTTCATATGCAATATAGGTGAACAATTGAACTAGAAGAATTGGAAATAAATACAATGTATCTAAATACAAATTAGACATATGTCATAATAGATCATTCCATGGATCATATGCAATGTAAGTGAACAATTGAACTAGAAAAGTAGGAAATAAATACAATGTTCCTAAATACAAATTAGAGACATAGATCATTCCATCTTAAATAAATCCACAATGTTTTGAAGTAATTTTTAACATCAACTTGAGATTTTCTTGTTAAAAAGTTGAATAAATTTAACACTTGGTGAATAAGAAAATAATGTTTTTTATATAGTGTAATTACTCCTGAGTTGCATTTTTTTTTACCTTTCATAAATTGACGTACGGTTAAATTTTGTCTGTGTATCGCAAGCCTCATTAGTAAAAAAAAAAAAAAAAGGTATGCATAGTTAACATGTGAATGACAATGTGTCTAATTCACGGAATCAGGGCCGGTGTAAGGGTTTCGTGTCCCCCTACCGAATCGATGATACGTGGCCCCACCCACTTTACTAGATCTCAATTTTTCATAAGGTAGTATTAATATAAAATACAAATTTTATTGTAACCTAATTATGTACAATAATGGATTATATGCAATATAGGTGAACAATTGAACTAGAAAAATAGAAAATAAATACAATGTATCTAAATACAAATTAGAGACATGTCATAATAGATCATTCCATTTTAAATAAATTTTGTGGCAGAGTTTTAACATCAACATGAGATTTTTTTTTCAACATTATGAATAAAAAATAGAAAATTATATATAGTGATTTTTCGAGCTTTAGCATGAACAAAACAAATTTACGGATTTGAACGCCCCCACCCCAGAATGACGTCACAATCAATACAAAGTTTTCATTCTTTGGTCAGTTATACTTAGTTTAATTTCTAACGTACAGAAATGTAGGCAGTAAAAAGCAAATGTTGAAAAGATAGCGAGGGTCACAAAGCACTTCCCGGTCGGAGATTCAGAAGATATTACTCACCGGCCCCGGGGTTAGCCTCACACCGAAAATTACTTATGGATATCGTGCTTCAGCAAGCCTTTCCAACATTTTATCAGCTTCCTTTATCAGATTTCAACAGAGTCTAGTCTGAGTTGTTCAATGGGACTACCACCAAAAATAGTTTATCATTTTTCTTTTTCGTATTGCTATATATTAAGCACTCCAGATCTTATTCTATGCTCCGTGTCGCTTCTGGACGTTGACTGTCATGGCTCTCCACAACCTCCTGTCTTTTTGTAGCTCTTAATAAATTGTATCTTCTTGTTATCTCTCCTAAAGCTTGCTCCGCCATCAGTTTACTCAAGCTTGCTAAGGAGGTTACCCCTTGTTTTCCTCTGACCCTCTTGCTTTCAATCTGTCCTGTGAGTATCAAATTTTCGAAGCCCTCTTTCCTCATTATGTGTGTGCCCTAGAAATTTCAACTGTCTCTTCCTGATGTTAAGTATTAGTGTCCATTTTGTTTCCATTTTCTCTAAAACTTGCTAGGTTGGTTATGCATTGTTTTCCTCTGTCTCCCCTTTGCCTGTCCTGTGAGTATCGAATTTTCCAAGCACTCTTTCTTTTATGCACCCTTGAAATTTCAACCCTCTCTTCCTGATGTTAAGTATAAGTCTACTTTTTGTTTCCATTTTCTCTAAAACTTGCTAGGTAGGTTATGCATTGTTTTCCTCTATCCCTCTTTGCCTTCAATCTGTCCTGTGAGTATCAAATTTTCCAAGCCCTCTCTCCTCATTATGTGCCCTAGAAATTTCAACTGTCTCTTCCTGATGTTAAGTATAAGTATCCTTTTTGTTTCCATTTTCTCTAAAACTTCATCGTTGCTTCATTATCCTTCTGTAGAACTACATTTCTGCTTCTTCAAGACTTCTTCATCTGTGAAGATAATGTCCAGCATTCGCTGCCATATTACATAATAGTTCAGTACTCTTTTCATTATTGCTAATGAATTTTTTTTTCTGTTTCATAATACTTTGCTTAGCTTTTGAAAGGCATCTTTTGCTATAAAAATAAGCTTTCGGATCTCAGTGTCGCACTTTCCGTCCTCTGTTAAAACACTTCCGAGATATTTAAATTGTTGGAGTTGTTTGATTTTGGTATCTCCACTTTTTAACTTGCATGTTTGGCTGTTCCCTATTGCTGACCACCATGCATTCTGTCTTCTTGCAATTGATTGATAGTCCTTTCTTCACTCTTTCCTTCACTACTTTCTTTGTGAGGTCTTGTATTTTCCTTTCACAGTGAAATAATGGATAGCGGCTCGCATTGAAGAATCGGAGAGCCGAGTTCGAATCCCAGTCAAATCCATTACACCCACTTACGTGCTAATACCCTTGGTAAAGGTATGGATACTCTTCTTCTCCTACCCCCAACTATGGGTAAATAGCAGAACAGAACGGATTCTGTAGCCTTGGATGGCAACTGGTCTACCGCAGAAAGAAATGGCAACCTACTGCGGGAAAAAATCTACCTCGTCAGTCATGTATCGAAAGATACATGATCGCTTAAGCGTGTATCACATATGGCACATAACTGACTGATCTATCTATCTATCTATCTATCTATCTATCTATCTATCTATCTATCCTCTTCTATTTTGTTCTATACACATCTATCTATTCTATTCTATACATACCCATATGCATATCTATCTATCTATCTATCTATCTATCTATCTATCTATCTATCTATCTGTGTTATCTGCGTATCTTATGTTAAGATTTTGTCGGCCAATAACAAATCCTGGTTAGATTTCTAATTCTCTAAGAATAAATTTTATAAAAGTTAATAAGGGGTTCAATATACTGTAAAAATTCCTTGTAAATTGACCGTCGCCATCACTATGGAATCCAAAACAAATATACACATATGACGTGATTTCTTGAAATAAAAATAAATATGTTTTTATAATTTTCCTAATTCGGAACGCTTAGTCGATGGGCATGAGCATATTTTGTTTTGTCTTCCGTAGGGGGATCGTTTTATAGTGAATTTGCATAGCAAACTAGACTCTCTATTAACTTTTATAAAATTGAACAATTTAAAAAAAAATTAATATTCGTTATTTGGAATATTTAATATATAATAAAATATAAAAATTAATTATGAAAAAAAAAATGAGGAAGGATTATTTCTTGTCACAATGCCTATTGTAAACTCCGCCATAATCTAAAATTGCCAGAAATATTTTATAAATTAAAAAAAAATATATATATATTCATTCCTTGCTAGAAGTTTTGAAATTAAGTATGGATAATTTTAAATTTAATTATTATTTATAAATCCAAGTTACGAATTTTATTATGAAAACATTGATAGCTTCAAATATCGGAAATAATATATGTAAATCTGTCATGTGTGAAGACCTGAGACAGCAAAGGACTTTACACGGAATAATTTACTGTATCTTTTGTCTTTGATTTTTCTTTTCATCGTTGTTACTTG